GTTCTTTTGCTGTGTTTGGGAAGTTTTCTGTCATTAATTCTGTGAACAGTTTTTTTAAATGTCGTTTGTACTTTCTCTTGTTTTTTTGTGGTCTCCTATCAGTCTTATATTATTATTCTTTGCATCATCTAGGAGCTGTTTGATTTCTCATGGTCTCTTACTAGTTTTAAGAAATCTCTCTTTTCATGGTTACTGACCGCCATCCTGTTTTCTATATCTGATATTCTGTCTTCAGATTGGCTCAGTCTCCTGTGTATACTTTCAGTAGTTTTTAATCTCCTGGATATTTGTTTGAATCTGTTTCATGGATTCCATTTCTTTCCTATGTTGGTTGTTCATGATTTCCATTTCTTTCCTATGCTGGGGATTCATGGCTTCCATCTTGGTCCTGAACTCATGTATTTTTTTAATCAGTTTCTGTTCTAGAGTCTCTAATCATGTCTTTCATTCTGCTCACCATCTCTGCAGTTATCTGGGAAATTATTTCTGTTTTGAACTTTTTTAGAGCCTCATTCATCTGTTTTGTTACTTCCTGTGGTATCAATTCAGGCTGTCCAGGTGGTTGATTATCAGACTTTTCCACCTTGTTTCCCCCAGAGTTTGCCTTTATTAAGCTGGAAGTCTGAGATTGTGACTTGCTTAAATGTTTTCTCATTTCTGTTTTTGTTGGTATTGTCCTTGGTTTAGTTCCTGGATTGATACTTCGATATTGCTTATTGTAAGTATCTTTGTTGCTTGTATTTAGAAACTTTATGGAATGATTGCTTCTCAGAGTTGTCTTCCAAATATAGCTGGTCTTAAGGTTTTGAGTCTCTAATGACTCTGGGGCAATCCCATTTTCATTATACCAGGAGGATAACTGATTAGATCAATCACAACACCTTAGCCCAAATGATACAGTCAGCAATAACAACAGTATAAAGTACAGATTAGAAAATGACAATTTGTGGTAGTTATTAATCTATCACTTTAACCGTGTGAATTAAATCGAGGATCAGCCGAAAATATGTTTATAGTGAATAAACTCTTCAATACAGCAACTTTACCCTTTGGAATGGGGACTTAGAAGAAGTTGGGGAGGGAGGGATAGATAGGTAGAAAGATAGGGAAAGGTTAGAAGTGAGGCCAGAGGACACAGGAAGATCATGCAAACTCTAGGGAACTGTTGAAGACAAGAGGAAAGACAGAATGGAAGAACAAAGAACAGAACAAACTATCAGCAATAGGGAAGCTAGAAACTGTATTCACTTTCCTTTGAAACTAATAACAATCGAGAGAAGGAAAAAGAGAAGCAAAGAAAAAGAAGAAATCTGAATTAGGGCAGGAACGGGAACAAAAAGGGAGATGAAAATGTGGAAGAGCGAGAGAGTGAGAGAAAGAGAGAGAAAAGAAAAAAAAGAAAGAAAAATATCAGAAAAGAATAGAAAAAAA